GTCATCAATATGCGCTTTCTGCATTGCATGGGTGCAAAAAGCGCATAAAAATCTCTCCACAATTCGTATAGTAAACCAATAACAAATTATCACCACCATGTCAGACTGATCTGCCCCAGAAAACTGTCTAAGGTCCTTTTCCTTGAGTGACTGCTGCTGATACAGCAAATTTTTCTAACAAACCCTCCTCCTAATTCGCCTAAGAACCCCATTCCTCTCCGTAACAAAATTTCAACTTCCGGTACAGAAGTGGCGTAAAAATGCCTGTAAGCAGTACTACCTCAGAAAGCAGGTTCAATTTATCTTCCAGTTCCCTGATCAACTTTGCATTTGTGAGAGTATTTTCCTCGTTGGAAGAGTACCACAGCTGTGAAGTGAGCAATTCAACATCTTCCAAAAGTTTGATCTCCGATTTCCAGTTCTTTATTGCTGCCACTCTGTTCATCACACTTTTCTTAAAGCAAAAACAACTAATCAAACATAGCTTTTTCGATTAGAACAAAAATTTGGTGAGATATCTAGTTTAATCCAGGCTAACAACACACCGAGGCGCTCAAGTGAATCCTTCCAACGCATTCGTGACCTTTACAACGTCGAAAAAAAAAATTTTGGTGGACGTGAATACCACGCTTGTGCGGCGGATGGGTTTCAGTGCATTAACATCTGCTTGGACGGGAAACATCATTTCAGCGCTCTAGCTTCTCAGATCACCGAGTTATGAACTATGAGTTATGAGACCAACAGTACTTAATTACCTTTCTACAAATCGCTTTTTGCCCAACTGCTACAGCTAGTTCTCATCGCATGATCGACCTAACTTCGCTTTCTGCCACAAATCCCTTTTATACTTCCATCTCTGGTTTACCGCAAATTTTTTATCCTCAACTCGAGCAAAGCTAATGGCAATAATTTGAAAACTACACGAGATTTATCAAATAGTATAAACAAAAAAGGCACTGAACTTAAAAAAAAAAAAGGCTTACATCCAGCTCAATCTCTTTTTCTAGGCTTTTTATATTATCGGCGATCGAGTCCAGAGATCTGTCCGCTGTTTCACACGCTGTACGGACCGTCTTCAGTAGCTTGTTGCTAGTGATCAAATCCGGCACACATTCCACGTACTGACGTTCAATTGTTGATACCACTCCATCCATTGCTGGAAAAAAAAAAAATACCAAACCAGTAATATCAAGCCTGTTCTGAGAAGCAGTCTTATATTGGTATTGGCGGATCCGGAGGGGGGCGGGGGAGAAGGACCCCCAGGGGCACAGGTAGCACTTATTTTACTGTAGAAAAGTTTACTTTAAACCCCCTGTTGCCCCCCC